AGGAGAGGAGAAACGGAAGGTTGCTGCCGGAGACAAAACAACATCGGGAGAGAGCGTCTTCAGTTGTATTCGTTGCAATCGAGACTGTCCCTCCCGTATAAGCCGGTACAGCCATAACTGATACTCCGACGCCATCAGCAGATGAGGCACGAAACCATGGTCCCTCTAAACTGACGAATGCCACGCCCATAGTTGAAGCGGGGACTAAATGTTCACCACAATATTACTGTAACACCTACAGTAAGAAATGTCCATCAAGTGAATATAAATCTTATTAGAAAGCAACATCAGCGCTTCCCATATTTAAAGATAAATAAAGAGAGGACATTATAGGAAATCGAATCAGAATAATCATGGAGGTATGTATGTACAGATGTATGTGTGTACAGATAGATCGATAAACTGATAGACAGACAGACGCAGAGATAAGTATTGTTTAGAAACTAAATAATTTTAATTTAAATGTACGTGTGTCGTCTGCAATAGTTTCCCGTATTGGGCATATATTAAATTAAATGAAAAAAAATCATATTAGTTCATTTTGAAAACACAAAACATGACAGCGCCTGCAGCAAAAGATATTTTTTAATGAATTTTAAACACACTTTCAATTGTATTTCGCTAAAGTGCAAGACGTTACTTTTAACTTTGATTTCATGAATTGTGTCTAACTGATATCATTAATTCACTGATATACAACCCCATATATATATATATATATATATATATATATATATATATATATATATATATATATATATATATATATATATATGTTTGTGTTTTGTGTGTGTGTGTGTGTGTAATTGTGTGTTCGTCTGACCGTCTGGGTGTCATACTACTTAAATCACACTACTTACGAAGATCAACAGAAAATAAGAATAAATTTTCAAAAGTTGATTGCATTCATTACACACACACACACACATATATATATATATATATATATATATATATATATATATATATATATATATATATATATATATATATATATATATATATATATATATAATATAAGATAACACACATTGATTGCTGGTGTTATTAAAATAGTGCTGAATGTAATATAAGGTCTATTATGTGTATATTAATAACCTGCTGAACATTGCGTTTTGCATGAAACTCCGAGTTGTGCTACTGGTGAGAATATATATATATATATATATATATATATATATATAGATAGATAGATAGATAGATAGATATTTAGGTAGTAGACACACTTTGATACATGCTTTGTTAAAAAAAATACTGATAAGTTATTTTTGTTTTGTTTTCCAGTGGTTTTACATTATCCTTTTTCTTGAAAAAAGATTTTATTTTTCAGACTTCATAAATACAAAAATTGTTCAAATGTGTTTTTTTAGCGATTCCATGCATCTTCGCCTAACACATAGCAATTTCTAAGGATTATTCTTATACTGCTATAATAGATGGCGTTTTATTTCTACTGTAGACATTATAAAAGTTGGTGAAAGCAGACATTCTTACCAGAAACAACATCTCGCTGACGAAATCAAAACTATACCCGAATAATATTACTTATGAATTTAGAATACCCAAATGGGCAAAAGCTTATCCGATTAAAACAACCTCATAATTATGTTGGATACATCACAAGACGTCTATCCAAGCGACTAACACTAAATGTCTCGTAGCAAAGCTCAATACGAAGAGGTTGTAGCGACAAATTTTATCAATCCCGATAAGCAACTTACTCATTGAAAGCACGAATACATACCTCCATCAGTAAAAGGCGTTTAAAAAGTATGGAAGCCTTCATTATATATATATATATATATTTGCGCATGTTAATAAACGTATGTCTATATGGATTTGCATGGATATGTTTGTGAGATACATATAAGAAGAAAACAAAATCTTTAATATTACCCTCAAATATTATTAAATAATGAAACCTAAACCTTAATTAAGTTTACCCATATAATAATAAATAAAAATTGCATTCATAAATTAGATTAAAAGTAAAAATAATATAGATGTTATTGTTACCGTAATTTTCTTACTATATTATAGAAATACAATTGGTCGGGTAAATAAACTATTATAATTTTAAATATTCCTTTAATATGTTTTCGATAAATATGCTAATAATAATAGTAGTTAACTTATATTAAGTCCCTAAACTATTTACTTAAAAAATTAAATATTTAAATTGATAACATTCATCATTTTTTAGACATCTAAATTTCTATCAAGCATTGAAATCTATCTTTTACATAATTTTGTTAAAACAAAACTACAGCCAATTTCGATTCACTTCCCTCTCCCCCTCTCTCTTTGCCTTAACACTCATTTGGATATATCTGTATTACTGTCGTCTGTCTCCTCTCTTTTTTTCCTTTTCTTTTCTCCCCTCCCATTCCTACATATCATTTCCGTTAAGTTAACCATCTAAATACGTCAAGGTTCGGTCACGACTCCTACCCCAATATAAAGCATGCTTAAGAGAGATATGAAATTAACCCCTCCCTATACTCTACCTTGTCTCTTTACCTACCACTCTCACCCCCCTTGTTAAATTACAAAAATTACACTACCCATCAATTTCTAATCCCATTTTTTCTTTCCTTTCGTTGTTGGAATTGTTACCTGATGAACCGGAGTCCTGTAAAAAGGATTTTGGTGAAATAAATTATTGTAATGGTACCTTAAAGTGGTCTGTTTTTCATAAAATATTAGCTCTGTATTCACATTGAGCTCTCAGGATTCCATCCTCCTTGGAATTACCCATTCGGTTTACCAAGTTCTTCATAACTTAACTATATATATAAATATATATATATATATATATATATATATATATATATAACAAGAAATTAACCATTTATAAGCTCAGTTATGAACACCGCCACAATGTAGTGGCCATATATGTAAATGAAGAAAAAACTTGTATGCATACAAGAAAACATAATAGTATATTAAACAAAGGTATCTTATCAGTCAGTCTTGTTCAACGAAATGGGACCAGACGCTTCCTCTGTAGCTAAATGATATAGCACGTCAGTCTATAGGCCAGTTCCGTTTAGGATACAGTTTCAATTGCTGTCGGAGGACGCATATATTCTATGAAAATTTCTCGGACATTCAGGCCGGTAAATGTCATTAATACTGTTTATTATAAACAGAGCATTTACTTAAATATGTGTATCCAAATAAAAAAAAAACGTATAAACATAAAAATATCTTGAAATAATTGAAGGACATGGTCAAGTTCATAATGTGTGACATCACTTGTTTGCATTTGGATACGCATCGAGCAGATATGAATGTACGAGAGAAAATAATGGAGAACTGTAGTTTAAAAACAGTAAAATCGACGTTATAAGCGAAACGCTCCTCTGTGGTTATGTGACGTCCTCAGCCTTCGCTCGCTCTTCGCTGCTTCGTTCGGGTGTCGCCGCTCCAAACGTGACGTCCGCCTGTCTGCGTCAGTCGTGTTGTCCCGTCCTGTGACGACCAACTGGCTTGGTATTGGTCGCGGCACCCAAATGTGACGTTCTAACCTTTTGGTGATTCGGATGGGAATCTGGTCAGATTCGATATCAGCCTCGTCGTTCCCAACTCGCTTCTAATGTCTGGTCACCGAAGTAACTGCGTTGATCTCCCGTCCGTCTACCCACGTTGTGAATTGATCTTAGGCAGACGAAATCAATCAGTCGTTGGGGCCGTAATGCAAGTTGAGTTCAAATAAGGGTGGTATCGCACAAATATGTGTAAAAGAAAGTAAAATAATAACTCAAAAGTTCAAGGCATCAAAAAAAGGATAACAATACTTTATATCTGGTTGCTGGATACATAGGACTGCGTCTATCTCCCGACCCGCTATATGGATTCGTGACACGTTGTTTTTGTTAGGTGAGTTTTAACATCTTAAGTTGTCAGTTCTTTAAGAAACTGGTTATTGGTGTGTCTTCAGGCGATAGTCGTAAAACTTGTGTTGGCGGTATGAATCTAAGTCGCTCTTCAAAAATAAACTGTTCTTGGATTGAAGGTGAGTTCGGAAGTTGCGCGAATCTTACAAGTCAGCTCTGCGAGGCCCACTGCGCACTGGAGACTGAGGAAAACTGGGACTCAACTGGGAAACTGATTTTCGCTTGCTGCGACTTTGCTTATATGGACGCCGACCAAAACCGGGTGGGCTTTGTTGGGGTTTGAGGTTCTTGATAATTCCAAATTCACAATCCCTTCTTTTTGTTTTCGGTCAGGAAAAATTTATTATTTCCATTTTTGGAAGTCTTCTCTTACCCCCACCTCCAGAGGGCGTCAACGATCCTCCCACTTCTTCGCAGTAACATCTTATACCTATCCTCTTTAAGGAGTAGTAGCAGGCCTCCTCCCCTGCATCACATGATCACCTCCGCCTGTCTCTCGTTAACATTCACCCAATGGTCGATCAACAGTGTGGGCGTGACCAGACTAGACTTGTTTCTTAAAAAAATATATCTTGCTCAAAGAAAAAAGAATTATCTCCTCTTTTTTCTTTTTTTCTATTTCCTTTCTTTCTTTTCTTTTCTATTCTCTCTTCTTCTCTGGCCGCCAACAGAACAATGCGACCCGTAGTGTGATAACCTCAATTCCTATCCCTAGGTCACTTTCATCTAGACTTCGTCAATCATCAGGGTAGGTGGTCATCTATCAAAACACCGCCAACTCTTCCGATAAAATAGTTTCGCTATTATCGCCAGATTCTAACACAACCCAGACCTTGTCTAACGATATCTTTCCCTCGACAAAGACTTAACCTATTTTCTTTGTTTTTTTTTGTTTTGTTTTTTTCAGCTCGTGTGTGGTCAGGGCATTCCCGTGACACAGTTAAATGTTTATCTATTCTGTCCCGGAGTTTAGCTAGCCGATCTGGAATTTGTCAATTAGATTTTCGCCAGCACCAAGTGGCTGTTATCTATTCCCGATAATATAAGTCCGCCACCACGACACAGTTAATTTTTATCTATTTAGAATTTTCGACAATGGCAATGAAACCTTTCACCATTTGTCACTATCAAAATTTCATTTCTTTCCCTTCTTTTCTTCCTTTTCTTTACTTCCTTAAATGGTGTCACAGTTAAATAGGTAAAGCACGTCAGGCTATATGACGGTTCCGTTTAGGATACAGAATCGATTCCTGTCGGAGGACGCATATTTTCTATGGAAATTTCTCGGCCGGTAATTCTTGTTAATACTGTTTATGTTAAACAGAGAATTAACCTAAATAATTGTATCTATAAAAATAAAGTATAAACAATAAAATTATATAATTTGAATGGGTTGTGCTGTTAGAACATTTCTGATTGTTAAAAGAGTTTTGTCTATTTTTCTTGGCTTCCTGACATTTTAACCTGCTGCTCAGACGACATGAATTTAAGCGTGTGACTAGATTGGTATCTATATATCACTGTTCTGCTGAATAACTGCTTAGACATGAACGCCACTTCTAATCTCATGGGCTTTTTTTTCTCGCATTCCCCATTCGATAACGATTGATATTGCATTTAAATTCTTGAAGATCAAAATTAACCGAGAAGCAAGACACTAGAAAAGAGTCCCACAACTGCAGAAGAAGACATTGTTAGCATAGAACTTACGGCTACATCTACCAATTTCAAATGTAAATTCGTACTGGTACTGCGTAAAAACAAGTACTGCGCTTAAATTAAAACAAACTATCGTAGAGAAAAGTTCAGCAGAACAATTACCATGAAATTAATTATAGAATAGACACAGGGAAGATAGATTAAGGCGGTGGGAAAGTGACTGACGCAGGGATTCCAGGTAAATAATATTACAGATTCTTTTTTGGATTTTATCAAGAATTTCTAAATACAGGGTGACCCCAAAAAACGGGAACTTTTTAACAATCCAATAAAACCAAGAGTGATGAAAGAAAAATATTTTATTCATAGTAATTGAAACCTAAAAATATGCCATTTAAGAAACAATGATGGAATTTTCAATTTTTAAAAATTAGGTCCTGTAGATGACGTCCTCTTGTACGATTCTTGAAATCTGCTTTTTAGATTCCAAATTGACTGCTGCAACATCTCAGCTGGGATACTGTGGATTTTCATCTTGAATTCTAAATGGCGAAATGTTTACTTACTCAAGGTCACTGTCTCGCAGTGTTTCCACTTGCTCATGTCTGACAATACGAACTTCAAAAGTACCTGTTTTTTTTTTTGGGGGGGGGGTCACCCTATATATAACAAGAAAATTTGACCAGATCTAGGATCAATATTCAAACCAACCTGTTTGGCAGCATACCCAGCAGTTAATTCTATAAAATCTTTCCACTTTATATCAACAGAAAACGTTACCCTAGAAACCTTAAAGAATCACTCTTCTGAAGGTTAGCATTGGCCATTTTTATTTTATATTCTGGATATACGGTTATCATTTGCGTACAATTGCAATTTTAAGTGGAAAAAGATATGTGTTACTTTTTTAGAATTTTTTTTAATTCAATATTAAAACAAATTTATTTATTTTTAATGTTTTCACTCCATCCATTGCTCTAAAGACAGAAAGAGATACTGAAGGTGAAAGTATAAGAAACAAAAAAAGAAACATTCAAGAACGAAAATATTAGAAGAGGAATCAAAGAGACATTATATAACGATTGAATTTGCATTGATATTTGTTTTCTATTCATTTCACCCCATGCATGGCGGTAAAGTCACTAAGACACAAGGAGATAATAAGTGTGAAATAATAAGAAAAAAGAGAAAAATTAAGGAGCGAGAACAATAGAAGAGTAATCAAGAGGACAGTAGATAACGATTGACATTGCATTTAAAATATCAAAGTTGACTGGGAAGCAAGAAGCCATAAGTGAGTTTCACAAGCGAGAATCGCGTTTTAAAAAAAAAAACTTTTATCATAGAACTTACGGTTCCATCTTGCCATTTCAACTGTAAAATGATGAGACCTAGCCGCCAATCTAGTACTGCACTTAAATTCATAAACGTCTACGCATCATAGCCGAAAGTTCAGAACAATTACCATAAAAGTATTTATATAAAAAAAAAGCTACATTATCGCTGATATGCCAGGTCAGGACCAATAATATTGCAGATTATTCTTTGGATTTTATCAAGAATCTCTAAATATATAACAGGAGTTCCATACCAAATGTGGCAGCAATATTCAAAACATGAACGAATGGTAGACTTATAAATATATATATATATATATATATATATATGTGTGTGTGTGTGTGTGTGTGTGTATGTGTGTATGTGTGTGTGTGTGTGTACTGGTGAGAAAAACTATCTGGCGTCTCGCCTTCAAGCACTTTCCCACCGCCGTGAGGTTTCCTCCCTTTGGCGTTTCTATAAATGGTTATTGTACGGATGAGCGCTTCGCCGCGGTGCCTTGACTCTGAAATTAAACAAGATTTCACCAATTTATAGTTGTATTAGCTAGATATAACCGTAAATTATACACTAACAGTTTTTCTTTTCTCGCACTTCTCGCTTGTGGAACTCTCTTCCAGTTCCATGCTTTCCAGCCAACTTTAATCAGCAAACATTTAAATGTAATGTCAATCTCTATCTACCAACCTCCTCTTCTTTTGTACTCGCTCCTTAGAAATGTTTCTTTCTTTTTTTTTTTTTTTAATTCTTCTATATCCAGTCTCAGTAGTTTTATTGCCTTGCATGGGGTGAATCGATTATCAACATATCATAAAGCATACATTTCACTTTGGAGTTTTCATTTTAGCTTTATGTTCATTACGAAAGCGGTTTAGTTCCAAACTAGTATTATCGGAAACTATGTCCGTTAATTTGTAAATGTGCACTTAATATATATCAAGGCGTTTCAGTGAATTAGTAATTAGTAAATTAGTAGTGTGAATATCAGAAAATCCGGTAACATTAATAAATCTGTTGCTATAACGTTAGACATGAGATCTTTTGGGATTTTTAATTATTATATACAATATCCTGAAAATTGGGCACCTCGGCCTGGTGTAATGGTTAGCAAGCTTGGCTTGCTAGATCAGTTACTACTGAAAAGTGAGTTCGATGCCCCTTCGGCCTTGTGTCACATCTAAGCTATGCTTGGAAAAACTTGGGCACCTCGAGGCAGTGTAATGGTTAGCAAGCTCGTCTTGCTAGAACGATTACGATTGAGTAGTGAGTTCAATCCTCACTGGGTGCCCATAACTTTGGTTTTGCCACATCTAAGCTACGCATGGAAAATCTCTACAATATTCTGCAAATTAATCTTACAATATTTCCCCAAGTCCTTATATTAATCTTTTAAAATTAGCAAATATTAAGAGTTTATTTTTTATTTAACTTTATATATATATATATCCCTACCCCTTACCAAAATGTAGCTAATAACCGATACAATGATACAGACATAAGGAAAACCCAGACAACCCTTATCCAATTGAAGTAGATTTATCTGTAACCATGGAAACGTGATTTTAGCTGTGACTTTAAAACCCAGTAATTTTAAAAGTTACTCCAAAATTCGCTTGAGGATGAAATGGAACTAATGTCTTTAATTTAATCACAAAATTAAATTCGTGGCTTTTAGCTTCCATTTTTGAAACACGGTTAGAACTGTGTAGCGGAAAAAACATATTTTAAATCAATTAATTTTAATAATATATATATATATATATATATATATATATATATATATATATATATAGCGTGGTTCACACTGTACAAGGGCCAGGTGCTACTCGAGGGAGACAGTTACAGAGTAAGAAGCAAAGTTTATGCAGATATGTGGAGAAGATAACAGTTAATCCCTAGACTTGAACAGGTTAAGATTGTAGCGACCGAGAAAACATCCTCTTGGGAGTCAGTTCCATATAGCAGTGGTTCGCAGGAAGAAGCAGTTCGAGTGGAATTTACTTCTCGCCTATAGAATATTGAGCGAATGAGGATGGTTCGCTACAGTGTTTCTGTCATGGGTCCTAGCCGTGAAGGTTAAAATTGGTGGCACTAAGGAATAAATTTCGTCTGAGCACTTTCTATGGAAGGGGCGATGGAGCAGTGAGAAGTTTGCGATAGTTCATCTGTGAGAGAGAGAGATGTTGCACAGTGGAAAATATTTTGTCACCCACAAGGATGCGGAAAGGATTTGGGGTTCTATCGAGTTGTAGGAAGTGAGGACTTGATAGCTCCAGCACAATATATGACATCAGTGCCCCTTTTTTGGTATGACCTGGCTCTTGCAAAGGTCGAGGATAGCAGGAGGTACCGGGAACCGATCATTCTTCCTGTATTTTTGGCGATGGATCGTAAAGACGAGTTCTTGAGGTCTGGATTTAGGTTCAGGACCAGTACTCGCTCAAAGAACGGGGCTCCTTTGACAAAACGCCCTTTCATCGTGACTGGTGGCAGTTCGGGGTCCGATTAGCGATGATAGCAAGTAACTAGTTTGTTTGTTTGTTTTTTTTTTGTTGTTGTTTCTTTTATTTATTTTTATTTTTTTCAATTAACAATAATGCAAGAAAGTCTCCAGAAGATTCATTTTTCTGATTCTATAGAGAATTGTTCCCATTTTCCTTAAAACTTTCTTCTTACTTCCATGTTCAGTCCAAGACCGGTATTACATTTAGGGTTCTTCAGGATATGGACGATCATGGTTCTCCACTGCTTCCTATCTTTTACTATTCTCATTAATACTTGTCATTTCATGGTCCCTTTTTGTGGTTCCAATTTTAGTTTCTCCATCCAGTTGCACAAATTTGTCAATCATTTCTGCTTTTCTCTACGAATCCTTTCCTTTCATGATATGGAGGATTATGGTTCTCCACATCTTCCTGTCTGTTGCTATTCTCATTAACACAAATGTTGATTTTGGTTGTTTTCAATTTTAGTTTCTACATCCAATTTCACAAATTTGTCAATTATTTTCTTTCTATTTTTCTCTACGAATCGTTTCCTTCAGGATATGGACGATCATGCTTCTCCACAGCGTCCTATCTTTTAGCATTCTCATTGATACTTGTTATTTCATGCTCCCTTTTGGTCCAATTTCACAAATTTGTCTTGTATTTTCTTTTTTTTCTCAGAGTTGTTTGCTTTCAGGGTATGGAAGATCATGGTTCTCCACGACTTCCTATCTTTGACCATTCTCATTAACAGTTGTTATTTTAAGGTCCTTTTTCGTCGTTTTAACTTTTCTTTGGACACCGATTATCGCTGGCGTTTAGTAATTTATTTTATTTTTCTTTGTGAATATCGTCCTGGGTAAAAAGATAAACTACGTCCGCGTCCTGGGTATGACGATAAACTACATCCGCGTCCTGGGTATGACGATTAACTTGATCCGCGTCCTGGGTATGACGATAAACTACGTCCAACAGCAAGGCCTCTGCTCAGGAGGTTTTGAGGAGCGTGGAAAACCCGTAAGTGAATATAACAAACCCGACTGGAATTCGAACTCGGCTCTCTGATTTATTTTTCCGAGTCGTTATCCATTACACCACCCGCACGTCCAAACTTACAGAATCTGGAATTCCCAACCGGTCATCCCATCCTGGGTAAGACGATAAACTACATCCGCCTCCTGGGTAAGACGATAAACTACGTCCAGCAGCAAGGCTTCTGATTAGGAGGTTTTGAGGAGCGTGAAACCACCTCTTAATTGCTGGTGTTCCCAGGTTCACCCAGACCCAGGGTGGTAGCACCTGTTAGGGTCCCAGCTATGGGCAAATAGTTAACACACAAACTTGTGTAAAAATAGGTTTTAATACAAGAAATGCTTTATAAAAAAAAATCACCAACAATAATTTTTGAAGGAAGAATTATTATCAGCAATACTTAAAAAATACAAGCATGTATTGCTTGTATTTTTTAACAACTATACATTCTTTGAAAAAATATATGACCAGCTGTAGATTTCTTCAAGGAAAAATATTCCCAGAAATAGATTTTTGAAAAAAATATATATATTACCAACAATAAAAATTTTGTCGGCGTTAAATAACCCATTGAGGTGTCGATATGCCGTAAAACAAACAAACAAACTTCATGAGTCGTTATCTTTCAACATATGGACGACTAGCAGTAGAGCCCGGCGTTGCCCGGGGATGTAACATTAAGAGACAGATCAAGTATCGACCATCATAAAAAATAAAATTGACAAAGATTATTGTTTAAGGTTGACGGACACGCATGTCTTAATTAGATTTTTTTTTTTTTTTTTTACGAATTGGTCAAACTCAAACTCAAACAAAAATATTGTTTTCAATCGTTATGAGTCTACCAACTGAATAGAATTTTATTATAAACACTTGTAAATAGAATTTTTAAAACATTCTGAATGTAAAAATAAGGAAAAAAAGTGTGCAAGACAATAAGAAACATTACCTGCCAAAAGAAAGTTTTGTTGAACTCGGTTGAAAAATGTAGGAAATCCGATCCCATATATAAATGAACACAGACACACACACAAACAACCTGGGTTTTATAATAAGTATAACTCGATATGAGTTGTTCCCCTTTCATTCTGGCAACAGAATCGTGTTTTATCGTGTTTTCAAATTGATTTCGTGCAAAAACAATTGTGTTTTTCCAATTTTTGGCGCTGTCAGAAACACCCCAAAGTAATTTTACGTAATCCTGTGAGGTTTTGTTGAAATCGGTTGAAAAATGTAGGAAATCCGATCCAATATATAAACGTACAGACACACACACACACACACACACACACACACACACACACACACACACACACAATCTGCGTTTTATAATAAGTAAGATGTTAGTTCTGCACGTCTTTCTTCGTCCATTTTTTCAAACTTCTCAAGCAGGTTACTCACCTAATGTTTCTCTTGCTTTCAGCGTGCCTCATTAATGTTTAGTTCTATAAGCCTTCTTTCCTCATGGGGCTTCAAATGACCCTGTTTATGATATCTGTTCCCTTTGCACTTCCTCATTTGTCATATGCAATGTCGATGTTGTCGACGTTATTCCTCTGCAATATACATCTCGATCGTTTCAAGTATTTCTTGTTTTTTTTTGTTTTTTTTAATCTTACGAAATTATACACATTCACTGTCATCTGGGTGAGCAGGAGCATTACGCGGCATTTTAGCAGTTTTTCCTTCCATTCTGATATTATTTGCCGATCCGGTTTTTGAAGTAGTTTCATCATTTCCGGTCGGTGCTTGTTAAAAATGTTAACTTTCTGAGCCCAATTGGAAGACTGGCGTAATTTGGATTGCTTTCGATGCTGTTTCCGCTACTTTCTGTATTTGATGTTTACGGTGTTTTGTAAATATCAATAAACGCATGCTTGACCGATTCAGGACAAAAAAAGGTTCCTTCTTTATCCGGCTCTGACCAATATAAACATCTGGCCTTTAAGTCTGTCGTTTGCCTTTCCGCAAAAAGTTCTTCATTTCCTTTTAATATCTTTTCTTTGTTTGTTTCTTTATTTATTTTATTCTTTCATTCTTTCTTGCTTTACTTCCTTCCTTCCATCCTTCCTTCCAAAGCTACTTCCTTTTTTTTCTTTCAAGAAATTTACTCTCAATACTTTCGGTTTACCTTCTTAAATGGCATGTGTCTTTCTATTCTCCTTCCTTTCATTCTTATTTTCTGTCTGTCTTTCTTTCTTTCTTGTTTGTATTCATATATTTTTGTCTTTTTTCTTTCTTTCTTTATTGTCTCTCTTCCTTTCTTCTTTTTACTTTTACTTTCTTACTTTTCAGTCTCTCTCGCTTACTTCTTTTCGTGTTTCTTTTCTTGTCTGTTTCCTTCCCTCTATTTTAGTCGTCCTTTCTTTCTTTCTTTCTTTCTTTCTTGTTTGTTTTTCCTACCTTCTTTTTAGTCTTTTTTTCTATATTTCTTCCTTTCTTCTTTTTAGTTTTTCTTTCGTTCTTACTTTTCAGTCTCTCTGACTTACTTCTTTTCGTGTTTCTTTTCTTGCCTTTCACCCTTCCTTCCATTATTTTATTAGTTCTTTCTTCCTTATTTTTCTGTCTTTCTTTCTTTCATTCTTTCTTGCTCGTTTGTCTCCCTTCTTTGTTTATCGTCTGTTTGTCTTTCTTTCTTTTTTTCTCTCTCTCTTCCTTCCTTCTTGTTAATCGTTCGTTCTTTGTTTCTTTTTCTTTGTCTTCTTTCACACCATCCTTTTTAGTATTTCTGTCTTTTTTCCTGTTTGTATTCCTACCTTATTTTTAGTCTTTCTTTTTTTTTTTCTTAATTGTCTTTCTTCCTTTCTTCTTTATAGTTTTTCCTTCTTACTTTTCAGTCTCTCTTCCTTACTTCTTTTCGTATTTCTTTTCTTGTTTGTATTTCTTACTTCCTTTTAGTCGTTCTTTCTTAATTTTTCTTTCTTTCTTTCTTTCTTTCTTCCTTGCGTGTTTGTCTTCCTTCTTTGTTTTCAATCTGTCTTTCTTTTTTCTCTTCTGTATTCCTTCCTTCTTGTTAATCGTTCTTTCTTTCTTTCTTTTTTCTTTCTCTCTTGTCTCTACCCCTTTCTTATTTTTAGTCTTTCTTTCTTTCTTTCTTTCTTTCTTTCTTTCTTTCTTTCTTTCTTTCTTGCTTCTCTGACTTCCTTCATTTCTTCCTTCTTTCTTTTTAGTATTTCTTTCTTTCTCTTAATAGTTCTTTCTTTTCTTGCCTATCTACCTCCCTTCCTTCTTTTGAGTCTATCTTTATTTCTTTTGATGTCTCTCTTCCTTCAGTCGTTTTAGTCTTTTTTTTCTTTTTCATCTTCTTTCTTAATGTTATTTTTCCTTTTTTTAAATATTTTTCTGCATTTCTTCATTCTTTCTTTCTTTCTGTTTTGTTTCTTTTTCATTTCTTTTTTTCTTTCTTTCCTTCTCTTTTGTTTCTTTTTCATTTCTTTTTTCTTTCTTTCTTTCTCTTTTGTTTCTTTTTCATTTCTTTTCTCTTTCTTTCTCTTTTGTTTCTTTTTCATTTCTTTTTTTCTTTCTTTCCTTCTCTTTTGTTTCTTTTTCATTTCCTTTTTTCTTTCTTTCTTTTCTTTTTTTGTTTCTTTTTCATTTCTTTATTTCTTTCTTTCCTTCTTTTTGTTTTTTTTCATTTCTTTTTCTTTCTTTCCTTCACTTTTTTTTTTTTTCATTTCTTTTTTTCTTTATTTCTCTTTTGTTTCTTTTCATTTCTTTTTTTTTTTTTTCTTTTGTTTTTTTTCATTTCTTTTTTTTCTTTCCTTCTCTTTTGTTTTTCTTTTTCATTTCTTTTTTTTTCTTTCCTTCTCTTTTGTTTTTTTTTTCATTTTTTTTTTTTTTCTTTCCTTCTTTTTGTTTCTTTTTCATTTCCTTCTTTCTTTCTTTCTTTCTCTTTTGTTTCTTTTTTTCATTTTTTTTCTTTCTTTTCCTTCTCTTTTGTTTCTTTTCATTTTTTTTTCTTTCTTTTCCTTCTCTTTTGTTTCTTTTTCATTTTCTTTTTTCTTTCTTTCTCTTTTTTTTTTTTTGCATTTCTTTTTTCTTTCTTTCTCTTTTGTTTTCTTTTTCATTTCTTTTTTTTCTTTCTTTCCTTCTCTTTTGTTTCTTTTCATTTTTTTTTTCTTTCTTTCCTTCTCTTTTGTTTCTTTTTTTCATTTCTTTTTTCTTTCTTTCTCTTTTGTTTCTTTTGCATTTTTTTTTCTTTTTCTTTCTCTTTTGTTTCTTTTTCATTTTTTTTTTCTTTCTTTCCTTCTCTTTTGTTTTTTTTCATTTCCTTTTTTTCTTTCTTTCCTTCTCTTTTGTTTCTTTTTCATTTCCTTCTTTCTTTCTTTCTTTCTCTTTTGTTTCTTTTTCATTTTTTTTTCTTTCTTTCCTTCTCTTTTGTTTCTTTTTCATTTCTTTTTTCTTTCTTTCCTTCTCTTTTGTTTCTTTTTCATTTCTTTTTTCTTTCTTTCTCTTTTGTTTCTTTTGCATTTCTTTTTTCTTTCTTTCTCTTTTGTTTCTTTTTCATTTCTTTTTTTCTTTCTTTCCTTCTCTTTTGTTTCTTTTTCATTTCCTTTTTCTTTCTTTCTTTCTGTTTTGTTTCTTTTTCATTTCTTTTTTTCTTTCTTTCCTTCTCTTTTGTTTCTTTTTCATTTCTTTTTTCTTTCTTTCCTTCTCTTTTGTTTCTTTTTCATTTCCTTTTTTCTTTCTTTCCTTCTCTTTTGTTTCTTTTCATTTTTTTTTTTCTTTCTCTTTTGTTTTTTTTCATTTTTTTTTCTTTCTTTCTCTTTTGTTTCTTTTTCATTTCTTTTTTTCTTTCTTTCCTTCTCTTTTTGTTTTCTTTTTCATTTCTTTTTCTTTCTTTCTCTTTTGTTTTTTTTCATTTCTTTTTTCTTTCTTTCCTTCTCTTTTTTTTCTTTTTTCATTTTTCTTTTTATTTCTTTCCTTCTCTTTTGTTTTTTTTCATTTCCTTTTTTCTTTCTTTCCTTCTCTTTTGTTTCTTCTTCATTTCCTTTTTTTCTTTCTTTCCTTCTCTTTTGTTTCTTTTCATTTCCTTTTTCTTTCTTTCTTTTCTCTTTTGTTTCTTTTTCATTTTTTTTTTTTCTTTCCTTCTCTTTTGTTTTTTTTTTCATTTCTTTTTTTCTTTCTTTCTTTCTCTTTTTGTTTCTTTTTTTTCATTTCTTTTTTTCTTTTCTTTCTTTCTCTTTTGTTTTTTTTCATTTTTTTTTTTCTTTCTTTCTTCTCTTTTGTTTCTTTTTCATTTTTTTTTCTTTCTTTCTCTTTTGTTTCTTTTTCATTTTTTTTTTTTTCTTTCCTTCTTTTGTTTCTTTTCATTTTTTTTCTTTCTTTCCTTCTCTTTTTTTCTTTTTCATTTTTTTTTATTTTCTGTCCTTCTCTTTTGTTTCTTTTTCATTTCCTTTTTTTTCTTTCTTTCTCTTTTGTTTCTTTTTCATTTCCTTTTTTCTTTCTTTCTTTCTCTTTTGTTTCTTTTTCATTTCTTTTTTTCTTTCTTTCCTTCTCTTTTGTTTCTTTTTCATTTCTTTTTTTTCTTTCTTTCCTTCTCTTTTGTTTCTTTTTCATTTCTTTTTTTTTTCTTTCCTTCTCTTTTGTTTCTTTTTCATTTCTTTTTTCTTTCTTTCCTTCTCTTTTGTTTCTTTTTCATTTCTTTTTTCTTTCTTTCCTTCTCTTTTGTTTCTTTTTCATTTCTTTTTTTTTCTTTCCTTCTCTTTTGTTTCTTTTTCATTTCTTTTTTCTTTCTTTCTTTTTCTTTTGTTTCTTTTTTTTCTTTTTCTTTTTTTTTCTTTTTTTTTTTTCATTTTTTTTTTCTTTCTTTCCTTCTCTTTTTTTTCTTTTTTCTTTTTTTTTTCTTTCTTTCCTTCTCTTTTGTTTCTTTTTCATTTTTTTTCTTTCTTTCCTTCTCTTTTGTTTTTTTTTCATTTTTTTTTTTCTTTCTTTCTTTCTCTTTTGTTTCTTTTTCATTTCTTTTTCTTTCCTTCTCTTTTTTGTTTCTTTTCATTTCTTTTTTCTTTCTTTCCTTCTCTTTTGTTTTTTTTCATTTTTTTTTTTTCTTTCTTTCCTTCTCTTTTGTTTCTTTTCATTTCCTTTTTTTTTTTTTTCCTTCTCTTTTGTTTCTTTTTCATTTCTTTTTTCTTTCTTCTTTCCTTCTCTTTTGTTTTTTTCATTTCCTTTTTCTTTCTTTCTTTTCTATTTTGTTTCTTTTCATTTTTTTTTCTTTCTTTCCTTCTCTTTTGTTTTTTTTCATTTTTTTTTTCTTTTCTTTCTTTCTCTTTTTTTTCTTTTCATTTCTTTTTTCTTTCTTTCTCTTTTGTTTCTTTTTCATTTCTTTTTTCTTTCTTTCCTTCTCTTTTGTTTCTTTTTCATTTCTTTTTTCTTTCTTTCCTTCTCTTTTATTTTTCTTTTTCATTTTTTAATTCTTTCTATCTTTCTTTGAATTTTTACTGTTTCATTTTTTTTACTGTTCCTTAATGTTTCCTTTCTATCAGTAAAACAGTAAAAGAAAAATTAAACTGTTTCTATTTTTGTGTATTATTTTTCGTAGGTCTGTCTTTTCTTATGCTTCCATTCGTTTAAAAAACCTTTTTTTCTTCTTTCATTATTTTTTTTATTGTTCGCTATTGTTCCTTATTTTCCTTTCTGGTTTCTATTTTCTTTACACCGTGAGAAAAAAAAAAAAAGCAACAGCCGACAAAAAAAAAGAAAAGGTTTGATAAAATGTCAACGTTTACAGGATAAGGACCAAATACTAAACGTATATAAAATTCACGTTTCGCTCTTATTCAAACTTAATCAGAAAAGGATATATAAACGTGAAATTAAAATTCTGGTATTTTCATTTTTGTGCTGTCTTTCCCTGGTTAAGCAAACCTCATCTGTCTATGTGTATCTATCCTATCAACCAGCGTTCGTGTCTATAATCCATATGGTTATGTTTATCCCAATTCCAGTTTGTCTATATGGGATTCGGATGGTAATAAGTTTTCATTTGTGTGTGTGTGTGTGTGTGTGTGTGTGTGTGTGTGTGTGTGTGTGTGTGTGTGTGTGTGTGTTTCAGAAATGTTTGGGTGGCTGCCCGTAAATTGATGCAGGGATGTTACACACACACACACACACACACACAGAGGATTTATACACACCAATGATTGGCAGAAGGGATACAAGTGAGGTCCGCACAATATAAAAATATCAGAATTTTATTTTCTCTTCCATATTTAATTTTCGGGTGAAGCTGAAATAAAAGCGAAACATGTTACATTTATTCATGTTTCCTGTTCGTTACTTGATCCTAACATTCTGGTCGATTCTAATCCATGTTGTTTCATATTTGATCCCAGTTTATGCATAGATATATATGTATATATAATTAACACCTATCATAATACGTAAAATGGTAAGAATTTAATTATTTTAAAGACGAGCGTAAATTTTGTAAAGGAAGTGTTCACAAAATAACTCGAGTGGCAATTGTCAATGAATTAATTTAAACTAAGTTAATCGAACATTTTTTAATTTATTAACTATAAAGACGCTCATATACATATATACATACATATATGTATATATGTATTAAGGAAAAGACAGTAGGACAACTTTAGTTTTAGCCAACGCGTTTCGTCAAATGTGGACGTTTTTAAGGCAAAAGAACAAAATAAATTTCTTGAAGCAAACAAAATGTCGTGAGCAACAAGAAGAATTTAGAAACGCTATTGTATATTCATATTGTCAAATGGACAGTGAATATTTTCACTTGTAAAAATATTCTTTGTGTTGACGGATTCAAACATTTTTTTTTTTTTTGATTTCTTGATATATTTGTTGTGTACATTGGCTTGGGAGAGAAGTGATTCTTTTTAGGATATTGGAAAAAAACTGGGCGTAGATTAATATTTGGATAATATCAGTTTTTCCCAATCTCACCTTTCCTAACAGAATCACTTCTCTCCCAAGCCAATATACACAACAAATATATCAAGAAATCAAAAGAAAATTTTTGAATCCGTCAAACCAGTAATGACAAAAGAACGCAGGTGTAAGCTTAAAGAAAGTGTTAGTCAAATGAGAGTACAAGGTTAGCGTATTGTGTCCTTTTATAGTCCCAGTAAACAGAAATAGATCTCTTAAAGAGGAGAGTAATGAAACAAAAGGAAACCACTCTTGATTATATAATATTAATTTTTGCACGATTTATTAGGGTTTTTTGTTGATTTTTTTTTCTATTTTATAGTAATTTGGACATTCGCTCTTATAGTTAAGAGAGCATTAATATATGCTAGTAGTTTTTTTGTAGGAAAATAGTGAAATTATTCTTAGTGTTTATCAATATATCCATAAAAGGAATTTTGTTACTTTTATTAAGTTCGTATGTAAATTTAAGGACTTAATAATTTTGGAATTGTTGTTGGAGTTGATATATTTCATCCATATTCTTGATAATATAAGGACATCATCGACATATCCTAGGTAGATGTAGAGTTATTTTTTTAATTTATTAGATATATTATTTTTAAGACTATACATAAGAAATTGCTAAAAGTTGGGGCCAGAATTGAACCCATAGAACCAACCCGTTACACACCACACACACACACACACACACACACACACACACACACATATATATATATATATATATATATATATATATATATATATATTATTATTATTATTATTATTATTATTATTATTATTACTATTAGAAGAAGATAGTTTAAAATATATAGGTTTTAACAAATAGTTTTAGTTAAATATATTTGGACATTTCAATAACTGACTTACTTCCGTTGATATTTACATCATAAAATTTAAAAATCGTACATTATTTAACCTTAATTTAATTTTCAGATGAACACAAAAATTTTATTTGAGAAAAATGCTGAACGCAACAATTTTTGTCTTAAAAGAACACAAACATTGATGAAGACCTTGTGTTTTTGTCTCGAAATAAAATGAATATGCATCAACATGGTAAATTTCTTTTTCTTTAACAAGGATTGAAAATGGTTGAAAAAATGCTGAACGCAACAATTTTTGTCTTAAAAGAACACAACACATTGATGAAGACCTTGTGTTAATGTCGAAAGTACTCGAAATAAAATGAATATGCATCAACATGGTAAATTTCTTTCTTCCTTTAATAAGGATACTAAGAAAAATGTCCGTAATTATCAGAGGATCCTATTAAAAAAGTAGACAAAACTTGTCTAAATAACTCAATGAGGCACAACACACACACACACACACACACACACACACACACACACACACACACACATATATATATATATATATATATATATATATATATAGCAGTTCAACGAGAGAGAAGTGTATATTAAAAAGAAGTGAGAAACCGCAAACGTTTTTGGTTGTCATGTGGATTTTTTTTAAATTTCATGCTTTATTTTCCATAATTTTTCTACACGTGTTTCCGGTCTCGCAACCGTCATCAGGAAGTGGGGGCAGGTTTCCGCATATTATTAAAAAAATTTTCTTATGTTTTGCGATGTTAAATATTCTCGATATGAGGCATTCTCTTTTTTGTGTGTTAGTGACCACAATGTCTTTCTTGAATATATATATATATATATATATATATATAGATATATATATATATATAGGGTTAGATAAAAATGAGATAGCTAGATATTAGCGACTGTATACGCGTGTAGTGGCGTGCATACACAGGTAAGCAAATAAATAATTACCATATATAGCTAAGAGGTGTAGACATAATAGTGCTCAATGTGATTAGACAGAGCGAAGAAATAATTAATAAATACATATACGCGTTTGATGTACGTCACGAGTTTCATTGTTTACCCAATTCATCGGTTTTTGAATCGCACATCCAACCTAGATATATGTGTATTTATTAATATACATACACATACACGCACAAATATATATATATATATATATATATATATATATATATATATATATATATATGTCTTATTCACCAATTAGAAAACATACTTTAGCATTTCTACAAAACTATTACTGAATAAAAATACTAAATAACATATCAACTGAATATAAAATACCATCACACCTCCAGAATATTCTTTTTCTTGGGTGCTTCCTGTGGCAGACATATTTCTCTATGGTCCTTATATATTTCCTATCAAGTGTTTTGCCATTAACGCTATTTTCTGTTCAGTCACGTTTCTTCTTCTGTGGTTTCCATCTTGGTAATGAGTGGTATATTTAGGCATCATCGTACCATCGCTGACATTTTCTACAATAATTCTTTTTACAGTAGCTGTGACAATAATAATAATAATAATAATAATAATAATGTAATTTTGCTATCAAAATACAAGGACCTTGAAATCGAAATCTCAGAAATGTGGCACATGGGAGCATCAACAATCCCCATTGTAGTTGGAGCCCTCGGATTGGTTGGATAATATTCCAGTAGACTAATTGAAGGGATTCCTGGAAGTCCATGCCTTAAAGAAATACTAAAAATTGTTCCCACGAGTACAGCCCACATCTTACGAAGGGCTTTGTCTATGTAAAATATGTTTTTTTGTTTTGTTTTTTTCAGTGGAAAATGTCATGATGCCATGGTCCCGGAAAGAAATGAGTACACATCAGAAATCAAAGGAAACAAAATAATAATAATAAAAATAATAATAATAATGCCGTGGCAGCAGGTTGAAGACCGGTTGACTATAAACGTGCTACATTGATAGAGGACGATCGTTAGCATTGGTCCACAGCCTTCCTAGAGTTGGTACCTCGATAAAGAAAAATACTGGTAATTGCTAAACCTTAAATACGCCATCGTTCATAATATGAACGAAATTTCCAATCAAAACATTGAAAATAACAACGCCAAGCATACTAACCCCAGCGGTAGAGTTATCTCCCCCGGCAGGTGTCCCATTGCCTAGCAGGTTGGGCCCGATTGTTACCTTTCAAATATTCGAGTGAGTAGGTGAAAGTGAATAAGTTGGGTGCATAGAAATGATATGCATGTTATTACAGGAGTCAATCAACAGTTTCAGGTAAAAGGAAAAGAAGAAATCTAATCTGGAGAAACAAGTTTATTTTCAATCTAGATGAAGAAAGGGTGGCAAATTGTTAAAAAAAATAACAGGCTTGGTTATCTGAAGCGTAATTGGAAGGAATCAACATGATCATCTGAAATGAAGAAAGAGAAACCTGTTGAAAGGAATGTTTCCGACTCATCATGAAAAAAAAAGGATTGGTTTCTTGGATATGGCGAAGGTTGAGAGGGAGTTTATTTGAGATTGTGTCAGGTTTTAGTAAAAGATGACAGATTTGTTAAAGGGAGACAAAGCAACAGCAGTGGTTTATTGAAACGAAGAAATTGAAACTGGCTTGGAGTCGAAAGAAGGAAAAGTCTTTGAAGATGATGAGAAAAAGTTGCAAAAAAAATATCTTT